ATCTTAGTCAAGGTAAAAGAGCCAGTGATTCCTGCATCCCCTTTGCCCTTGACAAACCATTCTGATGCTTGGTTCAAACATCTAATTCTTGTTTGAATTTCTGTAGTGTAGCATAAAATTCAAGTGTTAGATCCTCTTTTCTGCGTTTATCTGATGGACTGGAAAGAAAATCTGTAAATTTTTCTTCTCTAAGTAGACGTTTATATCGAGTGATCAAGTCCCCTTGATACACAAGCCTGTGGAGCTGCTGGAGGCATTCACAGCAGTGGGTGCTTTTAATCCTGGTAACGTATCTTGAAATTCTGCAATGTCTCTGAAAGGCAGCTTTTAGTTTCATATACACCGGTTAATTTTGCGTCCTTCAAGGTTTTTGCCAGAGTGTTTTGTGCAAGATTGAGTGTCTTACAGAAGTTTAAATATAGCACCACTAATGGCATAATTGCCCAGGCTTGTAACCTCATCAGGAGAAGATTTCTGGGCAGTTTGAGAAGACCTGCTTTCCATATGCCTTTGCTGATTTGGTTTAATTGTATTATTTTCCTTTAATGTTTCATTAACGTGGCTCTGTGCGTGGCAGCGATCCTGCCGGGGGTAGGTGTTAGGCCGCCTGGCAGGCGGCAGAGGAGGCATCGCCGCCGGAGCCTCTGTCCTTGGGCTGGAGTTGCACATCAGTCCCATCTGATCCCTTTTTATCTGATCATTGCTTTTCTGTACAAAACCTCAATTTCCATTCATAGTTATTACCCTAAGATTTCATTTTTGCTTTTGCATATCTTCTGTTATTTAATGCTTTTTGCTGTTCCCAAACCCCGGGGTAAAGCTTCTAGAAAACGTCACTGAGGTTGAAGTTCTCTCGAGAACCTGTGGCTTTGCCTGTCCACCAGCCATCAGTGTGTGATTTCTCATGTATTGGCCCAAGCTACATTTTAAGCACTGTAGAACTTCATTTTCCAAGCAGGTGATAATTTATTAACAGGTCGGTGACATGGCTGAAGCTGATTTCTTGCCATGTATTGAAATACCTTGCGTATTTATGGACTATTTCCCTGAGTTTTTGTGCAAGCATCTGGTGATGCTGTTTTGACATCTATTTATGATAGAACTGTTACGCACTGCTGGGATGGAAGTATAGAAGTATAAACTGTTAAAGACAAGGTATTTGTCATGTTTGCAGCTTTATGCTTACTATACTGGAGTGCAATAAACATGGGATGCGCAAAATTTTCCAGTTAGCTTGGAAAATTCCCATGATAGCAAGTAATGTGATTGAATTTAGAGTTATTTCTTTCACTCTAGCTCTAAAATTTCAACTGCTAATGCTCATTACCTTTTTTTCTTGCTTGTCAACAAGAATGTTTTACTGTGAGCCTTGCTGGCTTCATCTCATTGACGAATGCTCTTTATCTCTTGATACCTGTCTGGTTGGAGGACACGCCACTGCTCAGCCTGTGTTAGGCAGTTTTTTTGGTAGARAAGTGAGGAGAACAGTAAAGTATTTAAGGAATATATAAAATTTTGTGTAGTAGAGTAATYCATCAGCACATGTCTCTGTATATTTATATATATATATATGTCTCCAGTGTATTTCATTACTGTGTGGTGTAAGGTGAGAGGGACTTTTAGTAAGAAGTACTTGATTTCAGTTTCTTTTGAATGAAAATACAAATTCAGAGCTGTCAGTTTTTCATTTACCTTTGTCCTGTGGATGTAAATTATATAAATATGGAGCTGTAGAAAATGGAGGGTTTGATTTCCAGACAGAGATGCCACATTGTGGAGTCTTCTCTTTCCTGGAAGAAAGGCCTCCTCCTCACTCGTGATGACCTCTCAAAAGCTGATGCAGTAGTTGGATGGTGTAACAGGGATCAGAACCTGCTTCCAACTCTTACACTTCCCAATTTTTGACCAAAATTATTATTTAACCTTTGCATATAGAGGTTCAATTGGAATATATTTCAGTGTTTCAGCATAACACTGAAAAATATTAATTTTGTTTCTGTCAGTGTAGAATTATGCAAGTAGGACATTTTATGGAACCATGGCTATGTTCTCTCCGTTTCAGTTTAGCTCTCCCTAACAGCAGAGTTTATCTGGGTGCTACGTAGCACTGCTTCAGTCAGCAGCGAGCAGCAGAAACGCGGCCCCGTGGCTGCGCGAGGAGCAGTGCTGGAAGCGGAGCCTCTGTGGTGACAGTTCCGCGGCTCCAGCCACCCTAAGAGCTGCTTTTAGTGTTGCATTCCAGGCCTTGGGGTACTCGGGAGGTCAAATAGTTTCCTAGTTTGCACATCTCTGCTGCTTGCCCGTCTGTGAAATGCCAAATTAGACTGAATAATCAGATTTTGCTTGCTATTTTATTCCAGACCATATTTAACATACTGCTGCTTCTGCTGTAGCTTGGAACTGAGTTGATAGTATCAAGGATATTTATTTTTCCTCCTAGTAGTTGTCCCAAGTATTTTCCTCCATCATAACCATTAAGAGGCTCAGAGGCCTTTGCTAGGTGGTTTACATTAATACTACCACTTAAAAACATGAAAATACAGAACGTTGGAGGAAATAGGAAATCTGGAAGAAGAGCTGCCTTGGATGCAGCTCCCTGCTGGCACTCGCATGGAAATCCTAATGCTGCCAGCGCCAGAGGCTCTCGCGCTGGCACATTCCCTCCTGCAGAAGGGCAGAAAAGCCTTTACCCCAGGGCGGGGAAAGCAGCCAGTGTCACAGGGCCCTGTCACCCGGCGGTGGCTGCTGCTGGGGGCACTGCTCGAGTGGCCATCAGTCTGTTTTCTAGGCCACTTCTTGCAGTTCTTTGAGAGCTCTGGATCCCAAGTCACTTCCAGTATAAATGTGTACACATATGTGCCTGTATGATGTCGATCTATCCATGATTCATGGGTGTGAATGTGTGACTCTGCATTTAAATTGGCTTCTGGGTATCAGGCACTCCATTACAGCTACATAGGAAATTCTAGAGGCAATTTGCCTTGACTTCTCTCTCTCTCTGGCTGTAAATTATAGCCTGATGTTCAGCTTTGAGACTTAAATCTTTTMTGTTTTTTGGAGAGTGAAAATGACTCCATGTGCAGTGGGCAGCAGGTTCTTGCTGTAAGCCAAGGCCTTGGGCAGTTCTGTATTTTCAGTGTGGCCGGGGACATGGCCTTGCGCATCTCCTCTGCGCAGCAGCAGGCCCTGCAAAGTTGGAAACTGGTGGGGACTTAAAATATAGTCTTCTGCGTCCAAGTGAAAATCTCATTGTGAGTTATGTTGGCTTGGAAAACGTAATTCATATATTCACTTGCTTGTTTTAGTAGAGGATTTAAATTAATGGTGTCTCGCTCCTCCACTGGAACAGCATATGCTGCGTAAGCAGGGAGACAGGAGGCTGCAAATCCATTCCTGACACCGTGATATGTTCAGGCTTAGGCAGCCTGAGGTGGAAGTGAGAGGCCCTCAGCGCGGGGCGCCTGCAGCAGCCAGGAGCACCGAGCAGGTCCTTGCTCCCTTGGAGGCTCTGCCTGTCCCCCAGGAGCTCCTGGCCTCCTGCATGGGGTTTCCCTGGCACCTCCTTTCAGCCCACCTGGAGGAGGCTACTGCATGGGAACAGTCATGGGGACAGCATCAATATCTGTGTGGAAAGCTATCCAGAAAGAGGGCTGAACAGGTGGAGCTCCTTGTAACACAGGGTGGTTTCCACGTACTCCTAGCTGGAACACAGAATGAAAGTCACCAAGGCATTTCTGAGTACCAGCAACTCCTGAATTCACTTACTGCAGAGCTTTGCCAGTTCTACAGTGAATCAGGTGTTTCTCAGAGAGCTGAAACCTAGAAAACCAACCAAGCTGGCCATTCTGTCTGTATAAAATGCAGTCTTGCTTTTTATTTAAAGGGTGTGGGGTGAAATTAGAGCCAAGCTTCATGCTACAGAGTCACATTTGAGTTAGCAGCACATCCGTGGTTTTGCTTTCCTGAGCAAAACTTTTCTCCCTGGGCATTTCCTTTAGTAGTCTGGGTAACTTTTCTGTTACTCTGTGTGTACCCTTTGCTGAGGGCTTTTTAGATCTACTGTTGGGTGATAATTGTCCCAWCTTAAGTGGGATTCAACTTTCAGTCTGCCTTTCTGTCTGTCTTCTCCTCAACCACCAAGAGCTTAAAAGCTCATTTCCTTGTGTGTCCACCAGCCAATCTGTTTTAAAAAGGCAACAGTGTGTGATATAGATAGGGCATTAGACTACAGAGTGTTTCTGGTGGCACGTGGAGACATTCTTGAGAGCTTCTCGGTGGGCTTCCCTGAAGTCTTGCCCCTTCCCTGGCCACCCATAGGAGCAGGGACAAACGCTGTATTTGGATCCAGCTGGCATGCACAGAGGCTGCTGCTGTGAAACCGTGCAGCTGAACATGGCAAATACTTGGCTGACATGCAGCAAAAATSCCTAACACCTCTTATGAATAATTCAGAACCTCTATCAAAATCCCAAACCTGCAAGGGAGTGCAGTAAGCACTGTCAAAACCAATATTCATTGTGTGCTTTTCTGTTTTGTGCCTTTGGTGGTGTTGTGTTTTTTTTTTGTTTTTTTTTTTCTCTCCTAGGGTTGCTTGGCATTTTTTCCTTCTGCATTATAGTCTTACACAGAAACCTTGAATTAGACTGCTCGTAATATTAGCATCGTTCAGCACTTCAGCATGGGGCTGTGATTGTGCATAGGAACAAGAGGAGCTGGGAGGAACCTAAGGTGCAAAACTGGGACTGGGAAGAGCCGGGGAGTCAAATACTTGGGTGTTGGAGCTCCTCATGGAAGCACTCGAGTAGCAGTGAGCGGCAGGGGGTTAGCTGGGAGCCCGGCAAGCCTGCGTCTGGTGACAGGATGTCCCTTGAGTCRTGTGTTTGAAATGGAACTGGGTGGAAAGACCAGCCCAAAAGGCTACTCGTGGGCACGCGGGCTGCACAGTGCAGGTGTGGGAGCTCTCCTGCTAACCATCTTTGTGTTTCTGCCTTCCCTTCCAGGTGCAAGTGGGAAGTACACCTCAGGACCAAAGAATCGTGGGCTACGTTTCCTGTACTCACTTGCAAGCTCTCGCAGGTACCGTCCCCATTGGCTTCTCTGCCCTTTTCTCTGTCCYGAGTCTGCATAGGGGGTTCTGTGCACGCACAGCAAGCGATGCCCTCCAGTTCCGCACGGCATGGGCTGCACTGCAAACAGCTGTGAGCTGCAACGGGAAAAGGACAAGCAGCCCTGTCACCCCTCTGCACTTGTCAGTCTCGCACTAACTAAGCATTGTAAGAAATAGTAAAAAACCCCTAGAGAGAGTTTTCCCTTTGCTCCCTTCTAACTAAATGGCTTTAGTTTAGCTACTTCAGCTAAACACATCACTACCATCATTAGTCATATCACAAAAGAATGACCATTAACAGCATTTATCAGCCCATACTACCAATGTTACCACATAATCTAAAACATCTCTGTATGTAACAGGGATTTATCAGAAGAAACAGCTGAGATGGTTGTTCTATCAGAAATCAGTGGTAGAAAGAAGCCCAAATTATCTGACCTACCGATTTCATACTTAAATTGCTAGCAAGTTACTATGCTTATTTAAAAGTTTTGTTGGTCGTGTTTTTCACTGACTTATCTTTAAAAAGAATGTGAAAATGTTCTGTTTCTGTGGCTGATGTGGCTGAGATGTGTGGATTCCAGCACTGCTCATGCCAAAGCTGGAAATGCCTATTAGCTCTCTGTCCATCAGGCTGTGGGTAGGCCTGTTCCTCCTCAACTATCTTAGCAACTTTCACAACCCTGTTTTATGAGAGTATCTCAGCACTTAGCTCTCTCTTTAATGTCAGTCCTCAGAGCAAGACAGAGTGAAGAAGGCTGCTATAGATGAGTAGCTTTATCTCCATTTTACAAACCAGATCTGGAGACGTGGGGAAGGGAGAAGATCGTAACATGATGTTTTATATTTAATTTCATTTTTTCATGGTCGTTATGCATACTTGAGAATACTGAATCAAGAAATCTTTCTATTCTAGTAGTTGGTCTGAGCACTCACTAATTGGCACGCGTTTGAAATCTGCGTGCATGTGTACAGAAAATTTTCCTTGCATCTCTTCTCTCCTTTGCATCAAAAGTATCAGCCCTAGACTTGCAGTAGGCATTAACAAACTTTTCATTCCTCGTCAGATGAAAATTTAATTGGGACAGAGGTGATTCTTGCATGCAGTCCAGCTGGGGAGTGGGATGCAGGACTGCCCGAAGGCAGCACCACGCGCCCACCGCAGCCTTGGGCCATGCAGAGGTGCTGCCCGCTTTGCAGCTGGGCTCTCCCATGCAGCCAGGTTACTGCAGGCAGAACCTGGAACCTGCTGCGCGTTTTCTGGGTGCTCCAGTTACAGGGAGACAGACTTTGGAACAGAACTGACAGTCCCTCAGGTGCGCTAGAAAGACTGGATAGTTTTAGAAAAGATTCATGAATTTTTCAGCTACATTTCAACAGTGTAGCAGCCTGTATTTTTAACTCTGGAGCTATGCTAATGTACTGCGAGATTGCTGCTGAGGAGCTGAGGTTGGTTGCTGTTCTAGTTTGGGTTATAAACCTCGGGGTTTAGTTCTGATACATTTTACTCCCTAGTCATGTATTCTCAGGTGGACTTTGGTAATCACACTGTAAAGTCCTAAAATATTAAAGAGGAAGAGAAAAAATGTTCTGTTCTCAAAGTCATTCCGAAGTTTCTCCACAGGTAAAACACAACCTTTCCTTTTTCTACTTAGAATTTTGCTTCACATTTTGAGGCTCTCCTTGTTCAAGATACATTCAAACAGAGACAAAGACTTAAGAGCCTGAATGTGTTTTGATATATCATATTAGTTTATGTAATGAAATGGAAAACTGAAGCTCCTAGCAGTCTGGCAGAGCTGTGCTTTCTGATTTGTATCATCCACTTCACAACATTTCATACATTTAAAAAAAAACTGTCCAAAAAACAGTTCAACCATATAAAGATGGGGTAAAAACAAGGCCAGTTTAAAAGGTTAATTGTTTAAATCATCCTGTCACACATGGCTGAGTGTAATTTGGCTCCCTTCTAGGATACACAAACTTACTTTTGATGGCTCTGGTAATTACATGAACATAGAAGGGAAGGGATCCAACTGCTTGTGGTCAATAAGGAGCTGCCTCTGCAAGAGATGTGCTGGCTGAACACTGTTCTGAGCAGTTACTATTTGTTTTACAGCTGACGTGCACCTTCAATAAAATTTTAGAATTAGATGTAAATTACCAGCTTAATCCTGTACCTATTACACAATGTTGCTCTGAAGCAGCTCCTCATTTCCACTGTGGAAATAGCTGCATTTCAGTGACAAATTAAGGGATCCTGTAATGAGACTTGAATGTAATTATTTTCCAGGGGGCTGTTAAGTTTATATGGTTCTTTTATGTCTTTCAATTAGCCAGTGATTAATGCTGTGAGCAGGTTTGGCTGCCTGGGAGCCACCTACCTCCTAAGTGCCGTTAAATCAGGCCTTGGGAAGACCCCCCCAAAGCACTGAGCGCCAGCCTGCCCCCGCTCAGCAGTGTGCCAGGCACCATCCCCTGAACTCCCTCGTGGCTCAGGCTGCACAAGCCCATGGACACAGTTAGTAGAATTCAGGTCAGCAGTGGGAGGGATCCACAGCGTTTGAATTCCCACTGGTGCCGTTTCAGGAACGCGCCACGTTAAACACCCCCAGGCAGGGATTCTACATATGTTTCTGCAATAGCCAAGCTGGACTCAGCACCGTGGTGATGTACCCTGCCCTTGCCCTGTCCTTGCTTGTGCTAACGCAGCTGTTTTAGTGTTGCCCTGCACTGGAGAGCTGGTCTAGCTGGAAAGTTATCTGGTAGGATGAAGTGTGTGTGTGTGTGGGGGGGGGTTGTCTTCTGCCTCCGCAGCCCAGGGAAAGGTCTGTGTTATAGGTCCGAGCTGGGGGTCTCCTTGCCCCGCTGCTGGATTCTGCTGTTGTGCTTGGAAAGTGCTGCTTTTGTAACTAGGCCTTGCACTTAGCTCCCTTATCCTGCCCAGATTCCCCCGCCTCGGTACCTGTGGCCCTCGTCAGTGCTGGGCGCTCTCCCTTTCTGCCCCAGGCAGGCCGGCTGGCTGCTTTTCCAGCAGCCTGAGGGTTCCTCCTGGTTGCACCTTCTGTGGCTGTGGCCAAAGCAGGGCGTCCTGCTCATGCATGGTATCAACCTGCACTGCTCAGGGCAGGATTTGACTTGGGAGTTTCCAAACCTAATGGAAAAAGGCAGCTCTGATTATCCCATCAGGAACAAGGCCACAGGGCTTCTTGGTGCTGGCTGAGATTTCCCACACTGCTTTGTCATCCCTTCATGTAAAACTGGAAGCTGAAGGGAACTTGCAAAGAACTCAGCTACGCCGATGGCAGAGACCAGTCACAACACAATTACTTGTAGTTTTCCAGACCAGTTATTGAAGGAAAAGAAAACAAAACTGCAGAGCAATTAGTGCACATCCATCTCCTCTGGTTAATCATTGGTGATACTCAATCAGAGCAGTGATTCTATGTGAACACTTAATTGGAGCTGAAGGCTGGAAGAAAGAGATGGTGAACGCTGGAGTTGGAAGGTGGTTCCTAGTTCCCTTTGCCTCCTGTTTGCAGGTGCTATTTCACTTCAGCAATAGGCACTTTATGAAACATCTTTTCCACTGGTGGTTCTGAATTCAGGTTTGGCTTCTCCTCTACTTGGCTGTCTGATTAGTTCAGTTAGCTCCAAAGTCGTCATCACTGTGGCCTGTAAGTCTGAGCCTCACTAGCCCTTTTGCTTCTAGACATGTAGGGCCTGTTGTGAAGCTGCTGGAAGCTGGAGAGCCTCAGCTGAATAGTCATCTCAGACAATAACTGCATTCAAGTTGCACTGAAGGATCCTTTTATCTGCCCTTGAACTGTTGCTCGCTGGACTGCACAYAGGACAGGTAGCTGCTTCTGTGACCTCTAGTGGAGAGAGGCAGCGGTGCCGCTGGGGAGGAGCAGCGGTCGCTGCCCGCAGCTGCCTGTCAGGAGGAACGCAAAGGGCCTCTCTCTAGAGCTGCAGGGCCGCTATTCTCCTGTAGTCCTGAGGCTGTGCAGCGTGCSGTGCTTCTAATCCCAAAGTTAAGGACTCTTGCCAAGTGAGGTGCAAGCCACTATGTAGTCACTGCTTTCCCCTGCCTTTCCAGTAATGGCATTGCCTGTTACAAGACACACCTTGTGATAACGTGTTTTGTTCCTTTTTCTCAAAAGTTTTCTGAGCAGTTACTATTTGTTTTACAGCTGACGTGCACCTTCAATAAAATTTTAGAATTAGATGTAAATTACCAGCTTAATCCTGTACCTATTACACAATGTTGCTCTGAAGCAGCTCCTCATTTCCACTGTGGAAATAGCTGCATTTCTGATAATTTTACCTTTATGCATTTCAGTTAAGTGGGTTTGCTGTGTTCTTCTCACTGAGCTGCTCCTGGTTGTTGCCTGAGTTTCCTGACCTCATAAGTAATTGCTCTGTTTTATCCTTCCCCTAGTGAAGGACTGCTATATATTTCACAGAAGACACAAATGAAATCTTGACACTTAATGGATGGAAAGGCCATCTTACACATTTAAGCAATTCATATAATCAGGGCTTTGTGGGGAGCAAGATTAGTTGCTGTGCTCTTGTGAAAAGACTCCAGGCTAAAAGTTGGGTCAAGAGGAAAGTGCTGGTGCGTGGAGATAAGGAAGATTCAGATGCTGCAGAAACATCAGGGCCTGGCGTGACCTTCACTGTACGTCTGAATGAGGTGCGTCAGGAACGAGGCAGCAGGGACTGTTCAGCTTAGGGAGGGGAAGGTTCTCCATGTGTTTAAATACCTGCTGGCAGCGTCAGCAAGATGGGGGCAGCCTATTCTCAGGGTTAGAGGCAACAGGCACAGGCTGAAACACAAAGAATTCCTTTTAAACAGAAGAATAAAAACTTTCTTTACTGAAAGGGTGACTGAAAGACAGATAAGGATTTCAGACCAGAAAATCCAGATGAGGATCCAGACCAATGACCCTGCCTTGGTGTTGCAGGGATGTTGGTTACACCATCTCTAGAGGCCCTCGCAAGCGTCGGCCGGCCTGTGAGTCCCTTATTTCATCTRTATCTGTAGTTGAGCAGAACATATGTGTCGGTCACGCGCACGTTTTGGGGTCACTGTCACCTGCTCCAGGCTGTCATTTATTCCATGCGACCTATTTTTTGGGCTTTTGTCTAGCTGCATCTTAAGTGCAGGGCTCTTCTTGTGGTAAGCACTGTATCAGTATGTTTGCTAGCAGCTTTTATTAACATGCGAAGTGCAGTTCTGCACTTTATTTGCACCGTCATAGCAAGGGATGCTCCCAAGAATACATCAGAYTCTCGAGCTGCGTGATTAGCTGTGTTATTAGCTAAAATGGATGTATCTGTTGGTAACTAGAAACTGCAGATCTGGGAGTAGTTTCAGAAAGGACTTGTACTAGCTTGCATRTTACATCCCAAATGGTACAGATTTGTCAGGAATAACTGATGAGTAGAAGGGAAAAAAAAATCAGATTATTTGGCAGTGGAATTAAATGTCTAAGGAGATGAGTCAGTGTCAGGATGTACTTAAAGCTCTCTCCCTAGCCATGTTCTTTTCAATATTTCATTTAATTACTGAGGATTGTATCAAGTCATGTTTAGTGGAACATTTCTGGTGCACTTTGTATTTAACTGTTACTAAAACTTCCTTATTCTTGAAAATCCAGCCCTGCACAGGTTAAGAACAGTAGCAAAGAGTAGTCTCGATGCCTGAACTTATTTCTGTGCCCTAGGGCAGTTGCTGTGCCCAGAGCTCCCACTTTAAAAGTCCACAAAGTGCTGGTAACAGCTCCAGCTGAGTGCAGGACAAGCAAGCTCTAAGGAGAGATGTGACCTCCAGCCCAGTAGATCCCAGGTGGCTGGTTTTAAGGATGGGGCTTAGAAGGAGGGGCTGCTGTGAGCCAGCCCCTTGCCAGCACTGCCAGCTCTGCCCCTGAGTTCTTGCATGCAAATCATTTTGCCGCCTCCGGCAGTTGCAGGATCCTGCTAGTTACCATTTACATTATTTCTTTGTTTATCGCCTTAATATAAGTTAAGCTGAATTTAATGACCCATCTTGTTTAGAAATATCCAGAATTTGAACCTTTGTTATCTGTTCACTTATGTATTAACAAGCACATYGCTTCCAGTCTTACGATGCTAAATCCACAAGGAGGTAGTTTTCTATCCTGCTGTAGCATAAAACTAGCATTCAATTTGATATTTTTTTTTCATTAATCTCCCAGTGAGGTATTAGATGAGGGAAGTATTACTGCTGCCATGTCAAACTGCTCCCATTGGTGCGGGAGCATCGGTCCTTCAAGGAATGCTTTATCCCTTTAAAATTAGGTAAAGGATGCTTAAACGCTCTAGGTAAATAGAAGCTTTCTAAAAAGTACCTGTCTGAAACTTTAACAACCTAAGTATCATTGAACATCTGCCTTCGTAATCTGCAGAGTATAATCTGTAAGCAGGAACTATCATCTCTTGGGTTTGTTACACRTATTAGAAAAAGAGAATGTGCAACAACTTCTTTTTCCTTTCCTATAAAAAAAAAAAAARCTTGAAAATGGTAACTGACTTACAAGAAGTTTTTATGAAGAAGCAAAGTTTTGTATGTGCAGAGTTAAATAACCACCATCTCCATAGTAAGTGACACTGAAAGTGGCTTTAGACAAACACACCTATGCTATTTTTGATTTTTTCCCCACCTTTTTAATAGCTATTACAATGCAGTGAGGCTAATATAAATTTCAGTCAGAGTGATGTTGAGCTTGCTATTTTCTTCTGATTGCTGTGGTATTTAAACATGAATCTTTGTTTTATTTTGAAGAAAAGCAATGTTGTTCTGATTTGACATTTATCACTCCAACAAACAGAAATCATAATTATTTCTAAAATGTCTTTCTGCTCCTTTCTCCCACATCAAGCTTTTACTAGCTCTCTTAAAATAATTACAGCAGTTATTTTTTTCCTCAGACTTAATGTCATGCCATCTGCTTGAAATAAGATAGTTGATCTAATTAAAGGGTTGGTTTATATGTCAAGTAGCTTTACAAACTGAAAAATATTTAGTAATCACTCAGTCTCAGCCCTTTCATAGTACTTCATAAACCCAGGCACATCCTTGATCTGTAGCCTGCTGTTAAACTTGAAACTGGCAAAAAGGATCCGGTTCCTTGTTTCTGAAGTACTGCCTACTTAAATCTATATCATATATACACCTTTAAAAATATGGAAATACTTTCAGTTTGTCATTCTTGAACATGAATAAAACCGTTCCACCTGTAGATTACTAAAGCAGCAGTATGATGAACAAGTTCGTTTTTCTTCTTTACATACTAGGAAGGAAACAAAGAAAGAGTAATCATTATACCCTGGAGCACGCATGCCAGTTTGGGCATAAGTAGCATTTAACACTGACCTCCTATTTACAGATCTAGCGCAGCCCTCCCTCCTCCTGTGGCCCAGAACATCACCATTCCACTGTCTGTCTGGGCAACAGGTCACTTGTCTCTCTATTTCTTTAGAAGTGCTTAGTGTGATTCCAGGAGATACTTAAATCATCAAAAAATGACGACTTCCAATGAAGTTTAACTATGCAGCATGTCATGCTAGTATGCTGTTATTCACACCATTGCTTAGCAACTAATCTGACTATTTCATTAGAGACATAAATGATGATTTTTAAAAGGGGACTGTAAAAAAAAGGGAAGTATTTATGTCTTTCTAGTTTGCTTTAATCTCAGTATTCTCTGAATTGAGCAGATGAGATTTGGACCCAGCTCTGCAGAGACATCTAGACCAATTTTGCTGGAAGCACTCAGGCATTCTGAGCACCCAACCCTAAAATGCACATTTTAAAATGAAAATGAAATATTTCTTGGAACACCTTTGTTTGCTGCAGGAGATACTACTGTTCGATGTGAGCAACTGGATATGCTTCAAGATTGGCTGTCTGAATTCAGAAAATCTACCTCCTCCTCCAGCACAGCCAATCCCGAGGAGCTGGTGGCTTTTGATGTCATCTGTGGAGATCTCAACTTTGATAACTGCTCCTCTGGTAAGATGAGCTTTTCCTGCTTTGTACCTATGCTGGTAATAATAGAGCAGTTCTTGGTATTTTTCCTCTTGTGGATAGTTGCARTGTATACAAAGCCATGTCTGACTGTTGCAACTGTACCTAGGGAAAGACTTAGGTGCTATTGAAGCCATTAAAAGGGGGATGAGGCTTTTGATGACTCAGGGAGACCATCTCTCACTCTCAGACTCTGCCTAGCTCTCAATAAGGCTGTATTTTAAGGTACAAAGGGCTATTTCTGACTTGCAGTAGTAAAAATAGGGAGATTCAGGGGGTTTACTTCATTTGTTTAGACGTGCTCTGTGACACCTAGAATTTAGTTTACTAACTAAACTAATTTCAGCAGCTTTGATAAAGGCAGACAGAAGCTTAGGGAATCCTGAGCAGACCCAACTCCTGCCCTGTGACGCATAATGTTGTTGAATGGAGGCTCAGATGGATGAGTAGCCTCGGGCAAAGACAAGGGGCTGGAGAAGCTGCTGCAGAGTGTGGAGTAGCGTGTGGACAGCAGAACCTGAGCGCCAGGGAGGCCAGCAGCACTAGGGAGCGGAGCACAGAGAGGAACAGACGGGGAGCGGCCCCTGCCTGGGAAGCCTTGGCTCTCTGACCTGCACTACCTGCTAGAGCGGAGTCGGGCTGCTCCTGGCACTGGGCTTGCTAAGGCAAAAGAGGCGCAACAATCTGCTTTTGCAAACAAAAAGTACAACCTTTACAGCTATTACTTAAGAGGATTAAAAAGTACGTTGTAATAATTCATTTTATTTCTACATTCTCTACAGCTCATTTACTTTTCTCCTCTTTAAAATTCACTCAGCCTGGAAATTGAAATTAAGTTGGCTATTTCTTTTTTTTTTTTTTTTTWTTTKTAGCTTACTCTGTTTCCTAAACATTCAGCAAGATTAATGCTTTGTTCTAAGGCTGTCTCCTCCTTTTTTAAATTATGTATTGCTTTACAGAGATTCGTTAGCATTGCAAAGAACAGAATGCTTTTACGGCAATTTTTTTTAAACAATAATCAGCTTTTTGTAAATCTGTATACAGTTCTCAGTATTGTTTCCCTTTCCACTGACTGACATGGTAGATGATTTTTTTTTTTGTACTACTGACTATCAAGTTTTCAGAGATCTCCAGGCTTATGAGTGATCTTATACTTAGCATAAATTTTCAGCAACTTGTTTTTCCCCAGTGTCAGCAAGCATTATCTCAACATTAGTACAGTGAATTCTCATTTATCAGGGCCATTATTAGAAAGTTGTCTTTAATGTCAGGTTGCTGTGGAGTGAATTATGTAAAATTCTTTTCTAGTCTTAAAGCATAACATAAAAAGCCTTCTAGTCACAGAGGTGGAGTTCATTTTGTGAGCTGTGGCTTTTTAACCATCATTGCCATAGTAAATTAATCATGAAAAGATTTTAATCTGTCTCCTCTTTGAGGGAACTTTTATAGACATATCCTGTAAAGAGGGAAAGCTTGGAGAAAAGCAAATTGCACAGAATTTATTGTAGAGTTTAATTTATAGAGATTAAATAAATCAATTGGCCGTTCAGGCTGAAAGGAAAATTCTTTGCACTGCATACCTGGAAAATTTGGGTAAATCTCATCCTCTACCACAGCTCCAAGATACGCTAGTAAATTTATTTTTCAATCTCCTGTGATTATGAGGATCTTCAAGAACAAAAACTAGCTAGGGGTAAAAAATTAAAATAATAAAAAACAGCTAGAAACCGTACATGTAATGAGGCAAATAGGGGCACATCATTTTCTTTGGATGTGGTAACTGAGGGACAAGCTCTATTAATGATGCAAAAATGCTTGCAGCAATTAATGCTAAATATTTCTGTAAGCCATGTCATCACTTGTGTTGCTCTTCCATGTTAACAGGGAGCGGCCAACAGCTTTCTCACTCAGCAACAACACTGTTTAGCAGAGGACGCTTGATTTGCTGCTTAAATAAGTGGGCTAAGCTGCAGTCTGTCTAATCTGCCCAAGAACCAGGTCATGGCTCCAAGTTTTGTTGCTGACTTTAAGGCAGCCCATTCTGTGCATACTTACAGATACTGTTGCCTTGGCAATAGACACAGACAAATAGCAGCTCCAAGCACAGGTGAATATTCCAGTGATCCCAAGAGAAAACTTCAACTGTTGCTAAGAAATGTAAAGGGTGGAAGGGCTACAACAAAGAAAGCCATTATTAAGGAATATTATTGCCAGTCTTTGTCATTTTAGGAGGGAAAAAAAAAAAGTGTAGCAATTGGTGTTCTCGGGTCCTATTTGTGCTTATTCCTAGGTATAATGATCACTTAAAGAGCATGCACACAAGAATTTCCTATGTTGCTCATTGCCTGAATTTCAGGCAATCTGATATATTAAATAATCGCAGGACTTGGATGCACTGTATGACTTGGAATATGTTAAAGACAAAACCAAACAGATTAATCTGAAAGCTAAGGAGCTGATTATATTTAGGACCGCTTTAATGCTGGTGATAATAGCCCAATGAAATATCTCTCTCATACCTAACTATTATAATTTAAAAAGCATTCAGTGAATTCTTCAGAAGCAAGTAAAGTCCCAGCTTTTGTCTTCCAGCTTACCAAGAGATATGTGTACAGCGGCAAGCAACCTATAAGCTGCTGTTGTGAAGTTCTCCATTGTCTCATCTTGAGAATCGTCTTGTATTAGCATAAATAACACAATGCTAATGTGAGGATAAGGAAGTATGTTAGAAAACTTTCATTTCAGTTTACTGTTAAAAGCTATTGGAAAATGTCTAGAAAAAAAATTGTAGGAAAGCACTCTTATTAGCAACATTTTGCTGGATTTCTGGTTAAGATAAAATATTGAAGTGCAGCAGACGTACACAGCTATTTTGAGTCAGTCTGCCTGCCACATTGTGGATATGAGGAAAGTGTGTGTGTGTGTGTGTGTGTGTGTGTGTGTTTCTCATGCCTTCTTTCTAAATTAAAAAAAGAGCAAACAACAAGCAAGAGGTTTTTGCTTATTTGCAATGTGAAATAGAAACTGTTCTTGCCCCCTAAGAACTGTTCAGAAACTATATAAAACATAGTCAACATGGCTATAGAACACTCTTGACCAAACGAACACTAGCAGGCACAGACTGGGAAGGCAGGCTTGCCTCCTCTGAAGCACTGCTCACAATCTACACTGCGCGACCCCTTTGCCTTTTCTTTGCTCTTTCCCTGCAGAGGACAAGCTGGAGCAACAGCATTCTCTGTTTACACACTATAAAGACCCGTGTCGAATCGGTCCTGGGGAGGATAAACCATGGGCAATCGGTAAGATGTTCTCTAACTACCTGTATGTGATCAAAACTCGTTCTCATCTGTCACAGACACAGCAGCTGCAGGCAGCAGGTAGTGCAGCTAATGAGTGGTGACAGTGTGGTAGAGACTCAGTATTTGCGAGTGGTCTTTCTCTGTCACAATAATGTATAGTTTGTAGCCTCAGCCCTGTCTTGTTACGGCAATCAAGATCCAAAACCTCTGTCCACGTTTTGGAATGAATGTGGGACTTAGCCATTGAGTTACTTGAATGCCTCCACACACCTATTCTGCTTTAAAATAGATACTTTGCAAAAAAAAAAAAAAAAAAAAAAACTATTTTTGTACTTTCTGCATCCAAGGAAACTCTGCAGGTTTTGATCAGAACATTCCCTGGGTGTTGCAGGGGTGCTGGAAGGGAGACTGTAACAAAGCAGTTGAACAACATTAGCAGCTCCTAGAGTTCATCTTAGAAAAGCTGGAATTCTAATTGGACATCCTAGGGGAAAGCTAATACTTGGTGTAAACCTTCACCAAATTCAACAGAGTTGTACCAGGAATGGCTGTCCCAAAGATATCAAAGTGAATGTGGAACTGTGCAATATTGTGGCTGTAGCCACTCATAGAAAACAAAGAAAAATCAGACAGGTTGGGACTGAAGAAGCTGAAGCAGAAGCTATTTGCTTTTTCTAAACTCTCAGTCTCTAAACTCTCTCAGTCAGGAGAGTCCCTTTTCCCAACATTACGCACCCAGCTGTAAGACCTCCTGCGGGGGCAGGTAGCAGGAGTGCCCAGAGAGTCATGTTTCCCTCTCTGTCCACAGGTACCTTGTTGGATCCCGAAGGACTGTATGATGAAGAAGTGTGCACACCGGATAACCTGCAGAAGTAGGCATTGCTGCTCCTTACACACCTCAGAACATTCCTAAAAAGCTCACTGCTTGCTATTTAGCATTGCACAGGTTCACGGTGTTTAATGGTCCATAAGACATGTTTACTCAGTTCAGTACGGTGGAGAGGAAAAAAAGGGGAGGAAAAATGTCTGCTTCTCAAATTCTATTCGAATTTGCTTCAGTGAGTGAGTTGTTGATGAAAGCAGTTGCAGTCGGTGCCTTCATATTGCTAGAGATGCTCCTACCTGGACAGGCCCACGGGAATAGGACAAGCAACAGTAGGCGCTGCTGGAAAGGGCGCTGCCRACAGCTTGATCAGAGATCTCTCTGCACACAGTGAGTCCCATAGTCCTGGCACTCTCAACGAGCAACAGAAAGAAACATGGTTTTCCCTCAAAAAGAAGTTTAAGCTACCACCCCAATCCAACAACCAATTTCTCATGCTAGAAGGCCTGCAGAATTCAGTATCATTAAAGAAACAAAATCACAAATAAAGGAATTAAATAGCATGTCAAACAACTAGGAATAATACTGCTGAGCTTTTCACGGGTACCAGTCTATAATTACTTCCAAAATTTGAATAGTAGGAAACAAATCTTTGGTGTGATTTAACGGACTTAAGACAAATGCAAAAGAAATACTGTCTTGTGGAAGGTAACCTTGCTTGAATTAACTATTTTACATTTACACATAGTTGTACAGATGGTTCAGTCAGCACGCATACTAGGAATGCTACATTTACTTAGGCACAATATGTTTATCTTGGCATTTTAGTGTGCTAAGAAGTGCAATGCAGTGTATTATATAGACGTACTCCTTGTTGAGTACATTTGGTGATGCTAACCCTTAAAGTCATTTTATCAATTATATCAGATTTAAGTGAAGAAATTGAGTAAATATCTAGACATAAGGTCTAGATTTGTTTAGTGTATATTTAAAAAAAAACCTTTTTTTTGGTAGAGCAAGTCACGCTTTGCACATTCAAGAGCCTGCAAAATTTCCAGGCATTTCTATTCACGTGTTGAAAATATAGATTTACTGCATGTGAAAGATTTTCACATGTACTTCACATGAAGCTGAAGTAAGGTAATTTGGCTTCTACAATTAAGTTTGCAAATGCAAATCTGCATGTGGGTGTAACATTCTATTTTATGATTCTGAGAGCAGGTTTCAAGCTCTTTAAAAAAAAGATTTTTTTTTAAATGTTTTTAAGCAGCCTTTTGAGACCATCTGTCATCAAATTAGTTTGTAGATATTTTGTTTTATTCCCTGAAGAGTTACTTGTATTTAGCAATTAAGTTCCAGATACACGCGTGACTGATGGATAAATAGCTAGAGCATTTAAGAGTATTACTTGGGTTCCTTAGATACATCACCTCAAAAGGAGATCTAACTGGAAAGTATTCTTAAACTTTGGTAACAGTATATATATCTATAATGCTTTTGCTTACTAAAGAGTAGCTTTCCATTTTCTGCAATATGTGATAATCCTTTTAAATAGATTAAAAAAAAGAAAACCCTTAACAGGAATTTCTACTAGCTTTGTATTCAGATCTGCAGGGAAAACAGGATCTGCATGTTGAAGCTATTTAGAAGTTTCTTCATATTTGAGAAACCATCGCCCTGACGAGAGGCAGGAAGCCTCTTTTCCCATCTTTGCATCCGATCAGTTAATCTTGTCAATATTAATCACAGTAATTAGTAATAATCATAGAAATTGTTATATTTACATAAATCATAATATCTTACAAAATGAATTTCAGCATCATTAATGAAACCTGGCCTTTAAAACTTCTAAAGTGTTTTTATAAATGTCTTTTCTAACACACACAAATTAAGTGCTTGGAGACTATAAAGTGCTATTGAAGCATAGAAGCTGGGCAGCACTGCACAGCTAACAACAAATACCACTTATTTATGCAGCAAAACAGGGTACAGCCTAAAAATGATCCTTTCAGAAAGCTTTCAGTAATATATCTTGATCTAGTTCTAAAGCCATTTAAAACACCCAGTTACGTCAGCAAGAGGAAGCAGCATAAGCTCCCCAGACAATTATTTCTTCCTCAGCATTATTTCTGTAGTTTATAAATAAAACTAAGTAGTTGGCATTATTAAACTCATTAGTCCTTGAAAACAGTAGCACAACTTGCTCTTCACTATTTCTTTTTAGTACTACATACATTAAATATCAGGAGAGCAGACGTAGTACCAATAATGGGCAGGTTGTAACATGGGCTTAAGTTAAGYATTCTGGTTCCCCGAGGCATTCTGCTCTTGGTGCTCCTTTGTTCACTGCAGCTATGGGCAGCATTACCAACCTAAGCTGATCAGTCCAGCAGCTGCAGGACAGACAGAGCTTTTACACTTGCAGTTGGTAGACCAGTTTATGTAGGAGAGCCACTGTCAGCACGCTGGCACAGTAAATAAAGGCTTGGATTGAAAAACACAGCTGAGGAGACAGGCTTCACACTGCAGTTCTACTAGTTCTTTTAGATGGACATTACTTTTTCTAGGGGTTTCTGGAGAGAAGTGAACATACAATGGACGATGGGATGGGAGGAACAAACATTTAATGTGCTTGGCTTTTCTTTGTGAAACAGAGCACTGGAAAGTGAAGAAGGAAGGAAAGGCTACTTAGTCTACCCCACCAGCAAGAACCATGGTTCCAGTCAAAAGGGGAGGAAGGCATCATTGAAAGGAAATGGGAGGAGAATTGACTATATGCTTTATACAGAAGAAGGTCTCTACCTGGAATGGAAAGTGGTGAGTTTTATAAGAAAAAGCCATAATACATAGAACAAACTGCATTCCTGACTTTGCAAACATACAATGTGCCTGTATATTGTATGAAGTTTAGGGTGGTTCTAGTACAAGGCTTGTAGATATGCTGCCCTTCAAAACAAATGTTTATGTTCATTGAGTCTGCTGAAGTGTCTGACTGCTTTTACTATGCCTAGGAGAACCTGCTTAAGTTATAGGTCTGCAATATGCAGACAAAAGTGCTAGGCTAGAAGGAGGATTTGCAGTGTGTTATCTGATTCCTATTGCATGATCTTACCTTATACAGAATTCCACCAGGAAAATGAGAAACTAGTGCACACCTACTGACCATAACTCAACTGCAATTACTCTAGAGCGATATGCAATCTATACAGTAGTTCTGCACATGATACCTTGATCTGTCTGTGCTTTCCGCTTGCAGGGAATCAGAAGACATGCCAGCTTAGCAGCAAATTATTCTAGGGCTCCTGGTTTCAGATGTGCAGATGTCTCTCGTGCATCTGTGTGCAAAACTTGTCCTACATTCAAATGAACAGCAACAGAAATATTGAGATACTTTTGACTGAGAGTAGGCTTTTAATAAGGGTTATCATACAAGTGCTCTTGTCTGGGTAAAAACCAAATGTTTGGCTGAAAAGGCTAGATTATTTTGTCTGGCAGGATGCTAGTTAATGCTAGCTAAAAGGTACTTATAGAAATACAGTCTATTACCTATGCTTCCTGCAAACAATTATCAGAGTACTGGCAAAATAAATACCTGGCCAAGAGAAGGGGACTAGTACATTGTATAAGGAGAATGCTCAGGTTGCTACATGAAGTTTTTAAAAGCTGAGAAGCAAGTGGCTATTTCCCTCCAGAACTTTAACCTAAAGAGCCAGGCCTGTTTCAGGCCTTTATGGTCCTATATGTCTACTGATAATATAGTGAGATGGCTGTAGGAGAGGCATAAAAGGTGAAGCCTGAGGGGTAACAAGATGTYGTTTTTTGAGTTCCTTTTGCTTACTTTTTGTCTTCCTTCTGCAGGAAGTGGAAGAGTTCAGCTTTATTACACAGCTAGCAGGCTTGACTGACCACCTACCGGTAGCAATGCGTCTGATGGTGTCTACGGGAGAAGATGATCCCTAAAACCGACCAGCTTTGAGATTAGAAGAGGGAACCATTGACGATGTTAAGAAAAAAAAAAAAAAATTAAATCTGAACATAAGAACGAACRATTCTGGTGCCACATTAGGAAAGACAACCAGACCTGACCCAGGCTACACTCCAGAATGTACCAACAATAGAGGATATAAAAAGGGAAGAAATTGAAGGGGTTGTGGCCAAAAACCACTGTCACAAGTTGCTCAGGCAACACGGCAGGCCTGTATTACAATGCTTTCACTGTGGACCGAAAGGAACCAAGATGGAAGACCYAATTCCTTCTGAACCAGTGCCATTCTTATTAAAACATGTTTTTATACTAATATATAGCACAATTTAGTTTGTAATTAGTCTGTGAGTTAGTGCTGCTCAATGGTTTTTTGCATAATTTCTTTGTATAACTAAGAAGCTAATGCTTTTTTTTCTTTCTTTTTTAGCCTGTTAATGTTGTAGTAGCGTGCTTGCATCGGTAGCATGCGCCCGCACTGCATGCCACTTGGATAAAATAGTAAGATACCATGGGGAAAACAAGAATGAAAGTGAATTCAAAACTCAGAAACCAGCAAAAAGTAAGGCATTCTGGGACTGGCAAAGCCTTTTGTCATTACAAATGGATCTTAAAACCATTCTGCAATTTGCAGATGAAGTCTCTCAGATTAAAAATGCTTAAAAAATAGGAATTAGACTTTAAAACACAGTTCTACCATCCTATTCCAACTGTGTTCCCAGTGCAATTATCAAGTATTTTGTCTGAATAATGACTTCAGAATTGGGCCTTTAGTTTTCTAAGCACAAGTTAGTCTTTGAAGAAATACAGTTCCCCTGAAATGTCTGTTATTTCCTTCCCAAATGTGGGGCCGTTCTGAATTATGGTATGGGATGATATATAGTGTTACAGTGGCATTAGTAGATTCCTGTAGTACCATTGGTAACATCAAGAGTCAACATTCTGCCTTGCCTAGAAAGAGTACATGGGAAATAGCTTGTCAAATGCATGCTAGATATAGATTTAAMATAAATGTAAGTGACATTTTTGGAAAACAAGTATAGGACAATGTATGACTGACAAGGCAGGGTAAAGTAATACTTTCCAAAGGAATCCATACACTTAAAAGAGAGTAGCATGGCTAGTTTACAGCATAAATAGAAAAAAAAGAACTGTGACTCRCAGTGTTAAAGAGCTTCTGAGCAGAGGTAGGTTCACATCTCCGGGACACAAAAACTGTATTTGTTATGCACAGACTTTAATAGGGGTTCCTGTCATCTAATTAATATATTCTTTCCACTGCTGCCCTTTAATGTTGGGCTTTTCTCAGCAGTTTATCCCAATGTCCAGAGCTATTCAACCTCTGTCATCTTAACAGAAAAACAATGGAGAGCCAAGAGTCASACTCATAACTAGACTTCTTGGCATTCGGGGGGATTTAAGTTCAKAAGAGAGCAAAGGTGTTGCTAGAAGAACAAGATCCCTTGTTTTTTTAAACCAAGGCTTAGTTTCCTGGGCCTATTTTTCCCAAATGCCTGTGTTGAAGAAAAAGGAGAGTTAATATAAAACTCAAACTTATTCCTTTAAGTAAACTACATTTCCATTACACCGGCCACAAACATCCGAAGATCCTCTTGTTTTGGTTTAGTTTATCTGCTAGGAATAAGCTTGAGATATTTTAAGCTAAACTAATTTGAAATAGAAACCTCGGTCTGTACAGCCTCTTGTACTGGTTTGAATTAGCTACAGTTAATAGCAGAACTTTTGCTTATATCTACTTAAATCATTTCCAAGCAGAGAAAATCTTACCTTAAYAGTCATGAAAGTACTAACAGTCTTGGCTAATTCCAAGTAGGCAGTAAGGGTCCTCTTCACACTRTTCTAGTGTGTCTGATCCTGACATGTTTTATGCCTCCTTTTCCAGTCCTGGTCTCCCTTCAGCAGAGACTGCCTCCTACAAGCGTAGTGTGCCAAACCATGCAATAGTCTACACAGTGCAGCCCATGGAGACTCAAAAATGGAACCACACTCAGCTTCCCTTTTTGATAAAATTAGGAATTCAAGTTTACAGCATCAGAGACTTCAGTGTGCCATCCCAGTGCACAGTTCCCCACTTTGTATGTTTCTCTTTATACAGAGAGCGTGCATACGCGCAATATGTTTTTTCTGATTTCTTATCTCTTCAACCAGTTCAAGACTTGTACCTGAAACAATACTTTTAATCCTATTTTCTACCTTGCTTGTATTTTATTAACCTTTTTAAGAAAGAAAGCAAACAGTAGCAATTTGTGTGCTGTCCAGCAGCTCTTTCTCAGTCGTAAGATGAAATATACAGTACAGTATTTTTAATAGCTTTCCTAACAATGTAAATTACAATTTGATATCAACTTCACTGAGTATCAGTTGCAGTAGCTGAATTTGACACTGTGTGGGATATAATCATAGARCTCTACTGCCAAACAATCTTGCATTATTTACAGTAAAACTAATGTTGTCTAAATTTACTTYTACATTAGTTGTGACTTTGTGCCGACTAAAAACCAGGCACTTTTGTCAACCTTTTGAGATATGTTGAGAAATATTTTTTCAAAATTGAAGTAAACAGTTTTAGATTTTGATGTTCTTAGCTTTTTCAGTGATCAGGAAACGGTTAGTTGTAAAATGGTCTCTTTAAACAACATACTCGCACACACTTAACCAGTCTAGGTAGTTCTTACTAATTTACTGTCTTAAGGATCTAACTTGCAAGAGTGATGCTGGGAGGTTCAGCATTGTGGCACCATTGTACAAATGCTCCTYGCTTTTTTGCATTGACCCTGTGCCTTCTGATGCCTTGATATGCTTGCAGGAATTAGAGAGCACATCTACTGGTAAACTGTAAAGAATAGGCTTTTCTTTCTAGAAAACTAACATCCTGGAGAAATCCAGCTTGTCTTCACTACTCCTACAGTTCCAACTAGCTCACAAAAAATCATTCAGACAATAACTGTACTGACAGGATATCAATCATAACAAGCCTTAGACAGATACTATGTAATAGAATATTTGCATTAAAATAGAGAAAGGCAGAACAGCCCTAAGAAACTAAACCATGGATAGCTTTTCAGATGTCAATCCCACCTTGCCTAAGGACAGCATGACCCACTTTATTAGCTGCATGTTATTTATGAGAAATTTGAGTTAAACTTACTGTATTGTGCTTACCCCACTTTGTACAGGGATTTCATTTATCTTCAAGAAGTGGGTGACAATGCTATTCTTGGTTTAATAACCGCTGCTCACTGTGGAATCTGTAGATGAAGTGTCACCTGTTTTTACAGACGCTAGATAACACACACTAACAGCCTCTTCTGTTTCTCCTGTTCAGTTTGCTTCTTACAACACCRTTCAAGAACAACTGAACAAAAGACATTTACATGAGTACAGCTGAAAACAGGACCTTCCATAAAATTCATTGACGTCCAATCCTTGCAGTAGTGGTACCTTTAGATCACCACTAAAACACACCAACCTACAGAAAGGAGTACATCCCATTTCAGATGCACTCTGAGCCACCAATCTGTGCGCTCTTGATCTGAAGGGGGTACCCAATGCAGTGCTTCACATCACAGCTCAGCTGCTGAGGACAAGGATAGCAACACTCCGTGTGCAGCTCTAGGTTGCATGAAAAAGTGTTAACTCTAACTAAATAATCCAGGTGCTGGCCAGCTAGTTTTATCACTACCACAAATGGGATGTTCAACAGAAGTTGTCTAAAATAGCTGAACGTAAATGCCACAAACTGGCTTCAAGGGATACTTGCAGCCAGTGGAGGTGTGGACAGCTTTAGAGAAACCCTTGAGAAAGTTCTCACATGATGAGTTTACCTATCTTGTGCAAGTATTATTACAGTGTTTTGTCCCAGAAGCACTTCTGGCTAGTGTGCCAGGAGTCTGCTAATCCCTCAGTTTTACCTGTTAGATAAGACAGTAAGATTTAAGGAACTTCTGATATGTATTTTTAAATGGCATGTGGTGGGTCAGATGAAGCAGGTATGACTGTCTTCAGTTTGATATCTGAGCTACCCTTGGACCACTTTGCAGTGCATCAGTGTCAGCACATATCATCAGCTCAGAAATAAAGCATTTTTCCATCCTCCTGCATTAGAGGATAAGAAAAGAAACACCTACAATTCAAGCACTTTGAAAAAATTCCTATTTCTAATCATCCATTATAACACAGGTCAGGTTGTTACTGAAGGTCTCATTTTTCCATACCATCTTGTTTTAAATATAATCTTGATGCTTTTAAAAATCTTGTATTATTGCTGAAGTTTAGAAATCCTCTAATAAGAATAACCTTTTTTATTTCAATAATTTTTCGGTATTGTATCCTTCTGGGACCTACTGTTTTTATATGGTAAGCACACACCTTCTGACATTTTGTTATAAATGTATTAAAAAATAAAAAACTAAGTATTTTCACTGGTTTCTTTGCCTCTAAGAAAAACACAATCTTACACCTGAYAAAAACAAGGTATTTTGAACAATGGGGAAGGTTTTTTTGTCCTTTACTGGTGCTGAAAGGAGTAACAGGTTGATGCAAACAAGGTAATAAAATTTCAAGGCTCAAATGTTTCTTTGCAGTCYGCTTCTTCTGGGTTTGGGGCATGGGGGTCAGATGACATTAACATATTTGAATCTGCCATGCAGTGCCTTTAACACTTGTTTGTAACTTTCTGGTGGTGGAATCAAGCCTGTTTTAGTGAATTTGCCGAACAAAATAAAGGGCGAGTGAAATTTGTGTTTTTAACTTGCCACTCACATTGACCTCAATCATCTCTCCAGCTGCACCTCCTTGGTTTTAAAGCTAAACCACCTTTATGCAAGTGTTCACAGTATCTGCTACAGGCTATGAAACTGAACCACAGATCTCCACACCAAGACTACGCTTAAAACACTAGAACATCCATCTGACAGTGCATCCTCTTAAATAGTGTAGAACCATATGCGAAACATAAGACTTTCAGCTTCTGAATAGTTTTCACCTTCCAGGCTTTTAACTAAGAACATTTCAAGTACATAAAACTTTAAAACCTCTTCCTAATCCTGCCACCCTGGGCATTTTTTTTTTTTTTTGTCTGCCAAGAGAATCTATAAAATAGAAAAATATTAGATGGCATCTCTGTTATAGAGTTGACTGATAGGCAGCTGTGGGCCTAAGTTCATAATAATGTACATTAAAACGCCCATGGCGTTGAGAAGAGGAAAGAAAAATAAGGATATTTACACAATAGGTCAAGGTATTTGGGAAAACCACACAATCTCTGCCACCATTGAAGTGGGGCCCTCCATTCCTTCCCTGTCTCTCTCCCCTCCTCCATAAGAGTGTTTAGAGGTCTCAGGAATATCTGTCACTACTACACTCCAGATGAGCACCTGGGGTTCGCTCAGGCCTGCACAAGCTTGAATGCTTCTGCAAATACCATTGCCTCTCACAATGACAGACATCTTCCCCAACTTCTAAAAATAACTCATTGCCTTCACTCCCTCTTTTTTTTTGTCTCACATATAGATGCTTTGGGGCAGGAGCCCATCTCAGTTTCCTTTTATATGGAACCAGCACCTAATGGCCAAAGAAAATGGTTCCTAGGCACCAAAAACCATCAAAACATTAAATAGTGACCGAAAGATGAGATTAACAGCAGAAGAAATACTTAGAGCCTTCCTGTGTACTTTGAACAAGGAGATAATAGAATATAATTGCATAAGAGAAATGGACATTTCCCTCTATGTTCCTATTAACATACTAGTTTTGGCATCCTGTCTGTATATCAGGCGACTGTAAATTGCCTAATTCCCAGAGAGCAGCATTGTCTTAACTCTGCTCCTGTGCTATCACCCATAAACTGACACTTCACCTTCCCTCGTTTCCCACATGAGCAGATGATTTTGCTGTTATTCTACCTTTTTATGAGCATCTCCAGATTTTTTAAAAATCACTTTAAGGCTCAACTCTTACACAAATCAGTAAGGTTAAGAKAAATTTACCCATTTTATTGTTATACATATGCTGGTTAGGTAACAATACAAGACTTTGGCTTTGAACAAACCACACTATTATATAGGACATAATGCCATCAAACAAAACAAAAAAAGTTGGTTYTTTTTAGTGTCCTTATTTAGGAATCACAATAGACACCTGCTGCAATTTCAAAGCATGCAGACTTTCTGACACTTCATAACAACTATTTCTGGTTGTGTTATTATTAGATCTCCAGAGCAAAAGTGATCTGAAAGTSACCATTTAACGGGTTCTGTGTCCTACTGCTCATCTTGCTAGATATTAAAAAAATAAGGGGGGAGGTGCTTTTAAAGCAATCTGTTCACGCTCAACATAACTATATGAAAGTAYACATTAAGGTCATTATTTCAAAAACAAGAATTTCAAATGTAAGTGCTACAATCCACTTTTGAAATCCTGAACAGGCAGGAATAAACCTGCAATTTCTATCTATTTAAGGGGTTTCTTTTTCCCTCTCCCTCATTTATACTACATGCACTATTTTGGCAGTACATAAGGAGTTACTCTGGAACCCCTCATCACATTAACTACAGAGAAGAGAAAGGACTCCACATTCACATAAAGTTTTTGAACGACACAATTCACTAGAGTCCTATTCCAGCTGTTTCTGAACAATCTCCAAGAATGTATACACAAATAAGAGGTAAAACAACCTCCACCTGTCTGCGCAAACAGAGCACAGGCTTGGTTGCTTTACTTAATTACCAAGCAGCAGCTGCATTCAGGTTGCATACATTGGCCATAATCACCAAGAGTCACCCTCCAGGTTCGGGGAATAATTTASACTTGCTAACCAATTAACTGCATCGATTATGCTCTATGATACACAAGAAGCCCATCCAATGAAATAATCCAACCCATCCACAAAACCCATACACATCAATAGAAATCCAGATAGCTCAAATCCACCCCAGGTGTAGCAAGCAACAATTCAAGCCATGGTACTGTTTGTCAACAGCAGCTACAAGTCTTTTAAATCCCATTCCTGATTGCAYATTTGACTCTTCCAAATC